CTTTCTCTAGGCCAACCTAAAAAACTGAAGAGCCAAACGAGACACAGGCCCAACTCTACCATTAGGTAGAGGCAGTGCCGGATTTACGTATAAGCCAAGAAAGCTGGGATGCAGGTGGCTCTGTGGGTTAAACCACAGAGCCTAGGACTTGCCGATCAGAAGGTTGGCGGTTCGAATCCCTGCGACGGGGTGAGCTCCCGTTGCTCGGTCCCAGCTCCTGCCAACCTAGCAGTTCGAAAGCACGTCAAAGTGCAAGTAGATAAATAGGTACCGCTCTGGCGGGAAGGTAAACGGCGTTTCCGTGTGCTGCTCTGGTTCGCCAGAAATGGCTTAGTCATGCTGGCCACATGACCCGGAAGCTGTGCACCGGCTCCCTCGGCCAGTAAAGCGAGACGAGCGCCGCTACCCCAGAGTCGGTCACGACTGGACCTAATGGTCAGGGGTCCCTTTACCCTTAAGCAAGCTGTAGTTTGGACCCCACTCTCTTGGGCTCCCCCAAAAAATAAAGGGAAAAAACTGGATGTACATTTCCAAAATATAAGATAAAAAACAAATAAAATAAAACCTACATGCAGCAACAGTATTTTGTGTTGTGTAGGCTCCAGTGATGTAAGTAATGGGCCCCGCCTGCTAGCCTGCTCCCTAAAATATCACTGGTTTGTTCATTTCCACATAGCATATATTCAACACAAAGAAAACAGCGACAATTTGTTGTTGACAAAGGACAGCGGGACATATAAAGGACCCCATTACCTTCAGTAGCGGAGGGCCTCATCAAACCTAAATCCGGCCCTGGGTAGAGGGATGAGGTTGCCTCAAGCAGCTAGTTTAGGATCTAACAAAGCAATTTAATTTAATTTATTATTATTGGGCTGGGCTTTTTTTTTTTTTTTTTTGGTGGGAGGTGAGGGTATAGATGTGTGAGAAATTCAGTTCAGTTGGCATTCAAAGGCAAACCTACCTAATGCTCGATTTCTAAATTTTGCAGTGCAGTCCCCCAACCTAGTAATGTGTACAGCAGTGCACATATGACTTACTTATTTTCATTTTGGCAAAGTATATGCCGCTTAACCATAGTCATTTCTAAGCAGTGTGCTGGAGACTCTGTGCAATAGAACTAAAAAAAGCAATAAAATCAGAAATCAGTTAGAAAGCCTACTGGAACCAAAAGCATTCGGTAAAGGTAAAGGGAGCCCTGACCGTTAGGTCCAGTCGCGGACGACTCTGGGGTTGCCGGAGCGGTACCTATTTATCTACTTGCACATCGTGCTTTCGAACTGCTAGGTTGGCAGGAGCAGGGACTGAGCAACGGGAGATCACCCCGCCACGGGGATTCGAACAGCCAACCTTCTGATCAGCAAGCCCTAGGCTCTGCGGTTTAACCCACAGCACCACCTGGGTCAAAGCATTCAGTAGGCACTGGAAATTCAACAGGGACCTCACCTGGAATGGAGTTCAACAACATAGGACCCACAATGCACACATACCAGGGGAATCTTTCCTGGGACCCCCTGAAATCTGGAGAAATTGTAGGGTAGGTCTATTTTTTTATACAAAAATAAATAAATCCATGGGTGAGGAGGGGACAGCCTAACCCTTACCCTGCCTCCTGCTTACTTTGTTAGTCATAATCAGTGGTATACGAAATGTTTATACAGTGGTACCTCAGGTTACATACGCTTCAGGTTACATACGCTTCAGGTTACAGACTCCGCTAACCCAGAAATAGTGCTTCAGGTTAAGAACTTTGCTTCAGGATGAGAACAGAAATCGTGCTGCGGCAGCGGGAGGCCCCATTAGCTAAAGTGGTGCTTCAGGTTAAGAACAGTTTCAGGTTAAGAACGGACCTCCAGAACGAATTAAGTACTTAACCTGAGGTACCACTGTATCTTCTCTTTTGTCTGCTTTTGGAGTGATGCATTTCCTCTTTTTTAGTGCTGCGTTAGTAGCCACCCCAAAACTGGGGCCCCCGGCCCCCTCTTTCCTCTGGCTGGTTGTGACTTGCAAGTACTGGAGAGGCTGCTTATATCTGCCATGAAGCAAAGAAATGAATTTAGCTGCTTAACCATCCTTGGAATGATTGGAAGCACCGAAACGGTTAAAAGGTTGGAGGTGCAAAAGACGCTTGGTAAAAAAAATCGACTTCATTTCCTAATGGACATATGTTGGTTTCAGAAAGCAGGGTGGGGGGGGTTCCTTTCCCCCTTTTTAAAAAGAGAGACATAATGCAGAGAGGAGACAAAAGTGAGGTTGCATTGGCTCATCTGCTCGGATTATGGAGATTAAAAAGGCATTTGAATGGTTCTGTATATTACACTAATACATAAGGTCAGCAAGTACATGGCTGAATGTTCTGTCCTTGAATGCTTATGATGACAGCGGGGAAGCAGAACAGATTCAGGGGGGGCTAATTGACAGTTAATGGGTTAATATTACGGAGGGAACAATGGCAGGGGATTACGGGCAAAACCCCCTACAAACTCACAATGGTACTTTATGCATGATATTGAAATACTGTGTTTTGGGAAGCAGAGACAGAGGCACAGGAGGTTCGGTTGGGGGCCCGAGCCCTGCAGGGATTTTCAATGCTTCCTTCCTGACTTTTCAGCTTTTATTAAAAGCAAGAAGATGAAGAAACCTCTGAGTTGTGGAGGCAGGAAAAAAAAAAAAGCAGGCAGGCAGGCAGCGTTCAGCCCAATGGTTTGTTACAAGGAAAACTTGCTCCAGTGTTTTCCTGACCATTGAGCGCCAAGGGGTGTGTGGGAAATTGGCAAGTGCAATTCAGGCACAGGCAAAGCCATCAGAGCAGTTACAAACTGAGGACTAAAACGGCAGCCAGGGCTTACTATGTAAGGTCCTCTGCTAGCAAGGCCAGAGCTCAGTCATGAAGGAAGTTGTAGTCCAACAACATCGGGGGACCCACAATTTGAGAGCAACGAGGTGCTAGGTCAGCGGTTCTCAACCTGTGGGTCCCCCGATGTTGTTGGACTACAACTCCCATCATCCCTGAGCTCTGGCCTTGCTAGCTAGAGATGATGGGAGTTGTAGTCCAACAAACATCTGGGGACCCACAGGTTAAGAACCTCTGTGCTAGGTGGATCTCTCTGGAGGCGGAACACTCTATAAACGAAGTGCCAGCACTGAGAAGGCTATCTTCCTAGAAGCCACTGAATTCCAGATATAGAGAACAGACACAGGTATTTCTCGCATATGTGGCCAATGAATTGTAGAGTTGGAAGGGACCCTAGCACTCACCTAGTCCAACCCCCTGCAATGCAGGAATCTCAGCTAAAGCATCCATGATAGATGGCCATCCAACATTGGCTTAACAGCCTCTCGTGGGAGTCTGTTTCACCGTCAAGCTGCTCTTACTGCTAGAAGGTTCTTCCTGATGTTTAGTGGGAATCTCCTTTCTTGTAACTCGAAACCCTTGGTCCGAGTCCTGCCCTCCTGAGCAGGAAGAAACAAGGTTGCTCCATCTTCCATGTGACATCCCTTGAGATATTTAAAGATGGCTATCGCATCTCTCACTCTCCTCTTTACCAGGCTAAACATGCCCAGCTAGAGGGCCACAGGTTCCCCATCTTTGCTCTAAAGCTGTGATATGGTTTTCCATCCAACTCAAAATTAATGTCTCAACCCTTCCCCCCCCCCTCAGCTGTGCTGGCTGGAGTTGGCGACAGTTGTAGTACAAAACATCTGAAGGGCATCAGTTTAAGGACAGCTGCCCTGTGCATGCCTGGTATAGTAAAGATGAAAATAAATGTTGAGGGTAAAGACCAACAATGCACGCTTGGTGTTTTCAGCAGTAGAAGGGTCTCTGTTTACGTTACACTCATTTCAAGGCTCTCAGACTCCTTTGTCTTGCTTCTCATCCGCCGAACGCCCTTCTCAGTGTTATTGTACGGCTTTCATCTCTGATAAATATTGCTTTTAACAAATGATGTGCACTTGCGATGAAGAATTCCTTTGTGCCCCAGACCCGAGCTGATCCAGCAGAGCTTTCTGTCTCTTCTGCTCACACTCAGATCTAGGAACTATGAGTTACATTATGCAGGCCAAGAATTAGGGAGACCTTGCCTCATGACCAGTCCCCCATTTGGGGGGTGAGGAAGGACCCTGCTGCCACACCAATCTCTTTGCTAATTTGCTCGGATGGATTAGAAATCTGAGACACAAACATGGGTGCCCCTGTTTGTCCTCCTGATGGACTCTCCATAAGATAACGGGCACCTGCATCTTTCCCCAAAATGAAAGCAGAGGATGAACAGGTTTGGCCAACTTCTGATGGGTCACACACACATCTTACAGAGCCATACCACCTCATCTTACTACCCTCCAGCTGATGGGTTGCTGTCAGATGGTGCAAAGACTCCCTTGCATTGATAGTGGCTTAGGGCCCTCGTATTTACGGGACTGCCTCTCCTGGTATGCCCCGCAGAGGACCTTAGAGGTCCCGGGCCCTAAGGAAGTCAGATTATCCTCCACCAGGGCCAGGGCCTTCTCAGTGATGGCTCCGACCTAGTGGAATGCTCTGTCCCATGAGACCAGGGCCCTGCAGGATTTAACCTCCTTCCGCAGGGCCTGTAAGACAGAGCTATTCTGCCTGGCTTTCAACTTGAATTTAGCCTGGTCTTTTATTCCCCTTCCTTCCCTCCCCCTCCCCTTTTTATGAAGATTACCCGCTCTGGGATCCCACAGCTAATTCTCCCCTAGTCTCCTCACTGGCCCAAACAGGACTAATTTAGCCAGCTAGCCCTGGTGATCATCTAATGCTTATTGGATGGATTTCCCCCCTAAACTGATTTTAGAATTCTGAATTTATTGTTATTCACGTTTTATACTGTATTTTATGCTGTTTTTTGTTGCATCACAAGTCTTTTAAATTTGTTGTTACCTGCCCTGAGCCCGGTTTTCTGAACTGGGAAGGGCGGGGTATAAATAAAAAATTATTATTATTATTATTATAGCTAACATAAGAGTGCAGATTTCTGCAGAGAGACTTTAGCACAGTGGCAGAACACCCGCCTCCCATGCAGAAGGTCCCAGGTTCAATCCCTGCCTTCTCCGGGTAGGGATGGGAGAGCAGCCTTGTCTGAAATTCTGTAGAGCCACTGCCAGCCACTAATCCAGATAGACAAATGGTCTGATGCAGTGTAAGGCAGCTTCCAGTGCATAGCTGTCAACTTACAGATTTGAAAATAAGGGACCAGCAGCCTCGAAAATAAGGGATCAGCAGCCAAAATAAGGGATTTTGGCTTAGCTTATCTGCCACTGATGGAGCCATGCTGCTTTGGCTGCCACTGACTGTGTTCTGCAGGGGGTTGGACTAGACGATCCTAAGGGTCTACAACTCCAACCAAAGAAGAGGGGCAGACAAAACACTGATGAACAACGTCAAGATGGCAAAGCTTACAGGCAGAATTAGAAACCAGGAAGAGGACCTCTTTCATAAAGAATGGGGAAAGTTTATAATTTAGTTGAAAAGCTATTGTAAAGAGTTACATACATTGGTAGGATTGACAGAAAACTTGTAGTAAAAATTTGAACTATGGATGGACAAATGATTTATAAAAATAGAGTTATGAAAGGGATGCAGAGGGGGAAATCACTACATTAAGATGCTGCACTGGTTGGAGGGAATGCTAAGCAGCACGTCGGGGCTGCCGTCGTCCTGGCGCAAGGAGTTCCATCGGCCCTTCCCCGCCTGAGAGAGAGGGGGGAGGGAGGGAGACTCTCGGCCATGCCGCCTGTGAGCCCGTTGTGGCACCGCGGCAGCTGCTGAAGCGCCACCCTTCTGCGTCCCTCCCCATCCCCTCCTCTTCCTCCTCCCTCAGGCCGCCTCCTCAGCCGCCACTGCCGCCTCCGGATTCCCCTGGCAGCGCGGTGGAAGTCTTGCAAGAGAGGGGCTGCCTGCCCGCCCGCCGCCACCCGTCTCCTCACGATGCACCCCTGAGGGGAAAAGGGAGAGCCAGAGACGCAGCAGCCGTGTGCACGCTCTCTCGCATGGCAGAGGACCCCGAGCTGCCGCTTCCCTCCCTAGCCGGGCGAGCATGAAACCGGGAAATTTAAGGGACATCATCAATAAGGGACAGCAGCGGGACACGGCGCTGGGATAAGGGAGTTTCCCACCAAATAAGGGACGGTTGACAGCTATGTTCCAGTGTCCCTAGAATGGGATCACTTTCTGGTTGTTGCAGGTAGAAAAATGGCAGGAAGAACTTGAACCACCTGCAATCTGCTTCATCAATTGTGCTGCCGACTGAGAAGTGACGGGTGGAAGACAGAGACAACAAAGAGGGGAAAAGAAAAGTTGTCCGAACACACAAGAGACAAAGAGAAAACTTTCAAGCATTTTTTTTTAAGGAGGGGAATAATCAATTGGCAGGAAAACTTCTTAAGAGATATAAATCAAACGGTGGCAGGCGTATGAAAAGAAAACATTGTGTGTGTGAGAAATCTGACAGGGACATGAGAAATGAAAAGCATCTATCAAGGCTGATGGGCTTGGGTTGGATTTTTTCTTTTCTTTTTAAGGCCTTGGAAAGACAGGCATGTAAAATGCATTTTTTGTTTTCTCCCGTTTCAAAAACGGAGAAGCAGGGGCAATATTCTGAACGGCCTTCTTGTTTGAGCACTGAGTTGAGTCAAGAATTCTTGGGCTGGAATCCCAAACTGCTTGAGGAAGTCTCAGCTGCCTAGGGCTGGCAGGAGCTGCCAGTTTCAGGGCCTGAAAGCTGCTTCTGTGGCACTGTCTGGTTTTAAACCTTTCCAGACCCAGAATCTGCCTCTAGCTCAAACATACACTTTGGGACCAACTTCAAAATTTGTTACCATATATATATAGGTATGTCAGCAGTGCTGCAATTGTGATTAATCCTAGGTCCAATAATCCGGCCTTACACCCTTTTGCAGGGTTGTTTAATTCCTGAAAAGTTAAACAATCTTGCATTTTGTGTGTAAATTCTATCACTTTGTAATTTCTGATGGGCTCGGGACAATTACAGTTTCTCTCAGTTTCTTGTCCCCCTCAATCTTCAGTTAAAATTGTCCTATATCTCCATCAGCTTGTGATTATATATATATATAGTCCTCAAAAAAATTCAGCAGCTTTTTAGTGCTAATAAACACATTTTAGCAAGCAATTTCCCCACATATAATGCGCTTTTGCATGTTTATTTTCACTAATATACGCATTATATACATATATACATTAAAAACTTCCCTATACAGGGCTGTCTTCATATGTCTTTTATAAATTGTATAGTTATTTATTTTATTGACATCTGATGGGAGGGTGCCACGACCGAAAAGGCCCTCTGCCTGTTTCCCTGTAACCTCACTTCCCACAGTGAGGGAACCGCCTGAAGGCCCTCAGAGCTAGAGCTCAGTGTCTGGGTTGAACAATGGGGGTGGAAAAGCTCCTTCAGGTATACAGGACTGAGGCCGTTTAGGACATACTATATATAATACCCATATATGTAATCCCAGACATGCAATGCCAGTTTGATCTACTACCCTGTTCCTTTAAAAGATAAAAAAGACACAAAACTGTTTTATGAGAAATGGCATGTGAAGAAACATGTGTCCATTAACTTGTTCCCATATGCTATATCCATAATGGGTGTTGCCTTCTCAGTTATATAACAGAGACATAATGGGATGGCCTGCTTGGATGATTAAGATACCATGGAACTATCACATGAGATCATAGCTCTTATTATTAAGTAAAAAAAAAAGTTTCTGTTCTGAGAAGATTCAATCCATTTAGCAGTATATGATTCTGAAAAGATTGCAGCGTTTGGAACTTTTTAGTTTAGAGCAAAGGCGAGTGAGACGTGACAGGATAGAATTTTACAAAAATTATGCCTGGCATGGAGAAAGAAGAAAGTTTTTTCTCCCCCTCTCACGACATTAGAACTTAAGGACATCCATTGAATGTTGGAAGTTTCAGTACAGATGAGTGAAAGTACCATTTCGTGCAGCCCATGAACTTCCACAGAAGGCAGTGATGGCCAGCAACTTGGATGGCTTTGAAAGAGGACCAGGCGGATTTATGCAGGAGGAGACTATTGATGGCTACTATTTGTGCTTTGCTCTGCCTCCACAACTGTATGCTTCTGAATACCAGTTGCTGGAGTCCACAGGAGGGGAGAGCTGTTCTTGTGCTCATATCTTGCCAGTGGGTTCCCCACAGGCCTCTGTTTGTCCACTGTGACAACAGCAGGCTGGACTAGATGGGCTAATGGCCCGATCCAGCAGGCCTTTCTTATGTTCTTACTCTGAGTAAAACTATGGTGAATTCTACCCTTGATTTATATCTTCAGTTTACAGTGGACGCTCGGGTTGTGAATGTGATCCGTGCGGGATGCATGTTTGCAACCCGCAGCAGTGCATCTACACATGCGCGGGTTGCGATTCTGCGCATGTGCAAAGCGCGATTCAGCACTTCTGCGCATGCGCGACCGCCGAAACCCGGAACTAACCCTTTCCGGTACTTCCGGGTTTCGGCGGGTCCGTAACCCAAAAAAACCGCAACCTGAAGTGTCTGTAATCCGAAGTATGACTATATTTGCCACTCTTCATGCAACATCACAGAATGGTTTGCAGATAAAAGCAGAAAACACACAGCAACAATGAGCAAGTAGAATAAAACAACACAATAAAAAACAATCACAAGACCAAGTCCCTTGGAGGGCTATCAGTGGAACTACGCAGAAGTAGGCATTCTTCACCCATCTCCTCCTTCATGCTTCTTGAACTAGAAGCTTTCAAAGCAGTTCTTTTGCTTTTCATGTCTTCATCCTTTTCTACCTTCATCAGTTTGCACTGACTCCTCCTGTCTCTTCTGATGAAAGCCAGAGGAAGGGCTTGAGAAGTAAACTCTGGCATCTCATCTCAGAACAGAGGCTTCCACACTCCATGCAAATGAGGATTGTGGACATTTCTAGTATCGCTTGCCGCTGTTATTTGTATCGCTTGATGTCTTCATTGACATCTCTTCCCTCTCCTTCATTTGGTGATGCCACCGCACAGCCAAATCTGAGTGGTTATATAGCATAGCACCATCATCCTGTTCACCGTTTAATCTCTGATTCGCTTGGAACACTGATGTGACTAATTCAGGAAGTGCTAGCTTTGCTTGCAATTGATTTCTCTTCCCCAAATCCGGTTGGCTATGTTGCAGCATGCTATCAACCCATTTGTTCTCCATGTGATCCCTGTGTGGCTGGAACCACATTACAAACCCAGGAAGGAGAAAGAAACAGAAACTAGGGGCAGAATTGGCACTGAGGTAGTCAGCTAGGAAAATCAATGGCACAGAACAATATTTCGAAAAGTTAAATATTAGCAGACATTGTTTCTCAGGAAATTACAACTAGCCCCTTCTTTTCAAGTTGCCATTTTGGGCCCAAAATTCAAAACTGGAGACAATTTTGCATGGTCCTTATTTTAAAGGTTCCATCCATTTAGCTAAAGTTTGTTTTCTCTATTATACTTGTATATCACTCAGAAGCTGCATTATATCTCTCCCCAAGGAATCGCCCATATTTCTACATCCCTCGGGGAAAGTCAACACTTCACATCCATACTCCTTTGACCGATTACAGCTGAAACACATGGATAGCAGTCCCTTTTTGTGACAACCTCTGTAAATGAAAAAGTGCCACATTCATTTATTATAATGTAAGCAATTCAGTGCAAAAGTTAAACATACCTGGAGAGTGACAAGGTCAGGGGAAAAAAATACTGAATCTCCTCTTGTAAAAAAAAGGGGAAAAGGCACATTTGCTAAGGGTTTGCATTAAAACCAAAGAACCTGCATTTTAATGATATATATTCAGAAGCCTTACCTTTGTGGAAAGAAGATTGAACTTCTTCCAAGAGCCCCTTTGAGTTTGTGCAGTCCCATACCACATCCCAACAGCTGCCCACAGGGTTAACAAAATATTTGATCTGTAGGTAGGGACTGGGAACCAGAATCATAGTGGGTGTGTTGGAAATGCCCTAGAACAATGCATCTTGACCTTTGCCTGAGAAGGCCACTCTCCCATATTTCCGACTGGTGT